ATGATCTGTATTATGAAAGAATCTATAAAGAAGGACAGCTATTTAATATATATTTCCTGTCTTATGTTTCCTTATTAAGAAAGAAATACACCTGGTCTGTGCAGCAAATTGTGTTAATTTACTGAATTAAAATGGCTCCTGTCCCCAACCCCCCCTCCCAAAGAGAGGAACTAGACATACTGAAATAAGTTTATTTATTTATTAAAACATTTCTATGCCGCCCCATTCGCCGAAGCCTCGGGGCGGCTCACAACATAAGATAAAATACAAAAATAACAATATAAAAATAAACAATATAAAATAAATAACAATATAAAAGAAGTCACCCTGGCCAGATAAGTTGTTTGAACACCAGGGAGAAATCTGTGGTAGAATGGAATTGTGGCTTGGTCATGCTATAACTGAGTCTGAATACTTTCCAGGATGTGTTTACTACCATATATACTAGCATATAAAGTGACACGCCTATAAGATGAAGTCAATATTTTGGGTTGTTTTTCTGGTGTTTTTTATATGTTGGACATATAAGAAGACTCCCCAATTTTTGATTCATTGTTTCTAGTTTTGAGGGTCCTTTTATACACTGGTATATAAAGGTGTATCTCCAACTCTGCATTTCTCTAGAAAAACTAATGAATATCTCTAGGAATAAAACAGCAAATATCTCTAGAATCTTCACATTTAATGAGAGTCAGAACAAATGAGTGATGCTGGCTAGTGCTGAGATAAAGAGCGCAACACCACTAAACAGATTCCCTGGAGATATTTGTGCTTTTTCCTTTTTTGTGGGGTCCTGTGGTTTCAGGCATTCACTACAGGGCTTAAAACCTATCCCCCATGAATATGGGGTCCTATTGTATGATGAATTTTTCATCTGGCATATAAGACAACCCCCTGATTTTTGCCTCACTGTTTCCAGTTTCAAGGGTCATCTTATATACCAGTATATACTAAGGAATCGAACATGCTGATCTTCACACTGAAAGATTTTTCTTGTGCCTATGTTCA